CGCGCAGCTCGGGTAGGTAAGGGCGCGTGGGTGCCCAGGGCGAGGGAATGGGGCCGCCGCGTGTCCGGTCGCGTCGGCCGTTTTAAGGGCTGAGCGGTGGGTTTGGGAGTCCGCTTCACCTTGGTCCAGGTTCTATTCTTCGAGCACTATATGGAAACGTGATTCTGAAATGATGCGGGATCAGAACACGTCCACTCACCGTCAGACAGTTTAGTATAAGCCGCTTCCTAAGCCCATCCCTACATGGATCTTTAAGGCAGTTTCCTTCCTTTCCACGGGTGTAGTTGAATTTCTTCATTTGGAACGCGCAATTTTGTGTACTTGCCCTCTGTGGAGGCTAACTGGGAAAAAATGTTTGATGTTTTTGGAAAGTGGAAAGGTTGAACTTACTGGTAACTCCTAGGCTTTGAAGGAGTCACAGTTCTACTCAAGTTGTAAAAATGTGGGCTCTAAGTATATTGTGAACTATCCTAACGCCGCAGTGTATTGTTAGTGCTAACCATGAGTGATAATTTCAGCATTACTATATTCCTCGCCATATTTTATTTTTATAGTTTAATACATCGAAATGTTTTATACATCCAGTAAAACACAGTTACTTTTGGGCTGGGGATGTAGCTCACTGGCTCCACCGCCTGCCTCGCAAGCACAAGGACCTGAGCTCAATCCCTGGTACCAAAAAAAAAACAAAAAACAAAAACATAATTACTTTTACTCAATTTCAAGAGACCCGAGGGCTCAGGAAGTTGCTCAGTGTTAGATCCCTTGCCTAGCTAGCATGGGAAAGGCTCATGGGTGTCATCTCCAGCAGGGATAAATGAAAAGCCAAGGACCACTTTCTATGTTGTTTGTTTTGTTTTTTGGTTGGGGGGGCGTGTCTGGGAGTCAAACTTAGATTCCCCTCTACGATTAAGCTAAATCCTTAGCTCTTTTTTAATTTTGAGATGGTATTTTGCAGTTTCGAAGGATGGTGTGTATTTTGCCATCCTGCTGCCTCACTGCCTCTGGCTGGTGTTACAGGCATGCACCAACCACCCTGTGCACAGTTTTTTCTCTCAGTACACCAGCTAGCTTACTTGGGCGCTTTAAAACTATAAAGTTGTAGAGCTGGGATTTAGCTCAGCGGTTCAGTGGCCTGCCTTGGAAGTGCAAGAACCCGAGTTCAATCCCTGGTACCAAAAAAAGAAAAAAAAAAAACAGTAAAACTATAAAGTTGTTTTATGCTACCAAAGGATGACAAACTCTATATCGAAAGTACTTAAATTAGGGAAAACAGTCAACATTTTCACAGTATCCAAAGATTACTTTTGTAAAATTGGCAATTACAAATTTTGGTAAATTTTAGTCTGTTTTTGATGTGTTCCTGTTTCCCTTGTTATTTCAAAATATCCTTGCTTTCATAAAGGATGAGTTAGGGCATTTGAAGTGCCCACATAGCTTATTCAGCATGATGAAATCTGATTAACTCTCCAATTACTGAATGTATTGTGCAGTTCAGATAAGCTTTCCTCTAAATCTATATTGTATAAACGGTAAACAATAGCTTCATTCATATTTTGTTACTCATCTTTATTAATAAGGAATTTTTGGTTGTTCAATAAGTATTTCTATTGTTTTATTCATTGCTTTGTTGTGTTTGAAAATGCTGTGTCCCCACCCTGGTGGTACAGGCCTATAATTCCAACATTCAGTAGGCTGAGGCAGGACAATAGCAAAATCAAGCTCGACCTGGACAACGTAGCAAGAACCTGTTTCAGAATAAAAAGTGTCTTATATCTGTAGCTCAGTACAAAGTTCCTGGGTTCAATTCCCAGTGCTGGGGGAGCAGGTATTGTTGTAAGGCAGTGATGGCAAACCTTTTGGAGCTTTCAGTGATAACAGTCTGCTGCGGCACGCATGCTATAGGTTCACCATCACTATCCTAAGGTGATTTGGTTTTCCTTTGAAATACTTTCAATTTTCTAGTTAGTTCAGTGATAGAGTTAGATTGTCAGAAATTAACTTTTTAGGAATAAGTATTTTTCAAGGTAAGGTAAAGTTGCACAATAAGCATAGTTCACAAAATTTTAAACTCACATTTGAATAAATTTTATGATTGCTTTAATGAGCAACATTGCCTATTAAAGGTAGTCTCTACTCTGTGGCAATTCTATATTCGTGGAATCTATAATCTACATAATACAAAGCATTTGTAATTATTGCCCTTTAAAACTAGCGATAGCTGTTCCTGAGGGGTCTGTCTTTAATTACAACAGCTGAGACTTTGGCAGAGCTGTAGCTACTGCTTTCATCAGTGAGACTGTCCACTGTAGGCAATTGAATATACATGTATGTAGGCAGTTGAATCCTTATTTGATCCTAATTTTCATTTTGGATAGCATTGTTAATGCCTAGTAGACCCAAATATACAAAACATATTTTGATTAAGGTTTTTCTGAGTAGTTTAACTTACTGTAACTAAACTTGAAGATTTTAGAGGACAATAACCCAATAGAGGAGACCACTGATTTGAGTATTTAATTTCTCAGGATACAAATCTAAAACTATATGCATATATGTTTTTACATGTCTTAAAGTGAGGAAGTACTTTCTTTTTGACAATGAAGATAAAAGTTTGTATCTTTTACACTTTTATAAGCACAAGGTTATTAGTACTGGTACCTTTATAGATTGAACAGCAAGTCTGTAAAGTAATGAGAGAGAATACAAATAGCTTTTTATGCTAAATCAGCAGACTGTTATCCTACAGTCTAGAGGGTTAATACACATGGACTTGCATGATACTTGTGTAGGGCTTTAGGAATACAATGTAATACCTATCCTCACCCATCACAAGGGTGATGGTCCACACTCCTAAAAGACATAAGAGACAAACATAATGCTTTTGTTTGATCAAAGTTTAATAGAACAAATGTTAGAGGAAAGCTTTTTATGCTTAGGTCGAGTGAAAGATGGATAGCTATGTAGAAGTATAATTGGACAAAGGATATTGTATAATGGTAATAAAGTAAGGAAAGAAAACCCAGGAAGGCTGTCTTGAGAATCTTCTTGGCCTTTCCTTTCTCCCAGGTATGAGGCAGGACCATGTTGAAATGAGGGTCTACAAGGGAGAAGGAAAAGAGTGACCATTCTAGGTTTCATGACTTACTCTTGTATAAAGGAGTTCTAGTTTCTATGACCCACTTTGGAGAAGAAGAACTGGATTCTGTGACTTGCTTTGAGGGAGAAAGAAAAGTGAGAGACAGGAGGGCTGGAAAATGTCAGAAAGAGACTGCTTCTCAGGCCTCCCTGAGAAGTGCTCAGCCTGCCAAAGTGCCATATTTTGAGATACTGTTTTCTGAGCCTCAACAGTTGAAAGGTCTTTAATTGGGAAAATGTTGTAATTTTAGTAATTTTTGTTGGCAAAAAATTATGTCTTCAGATTTTCTAAAGGGTATGATACCACTCCCCTCTACCACCATAACAGTCTTAAGAGAAATAAGATTGAGAAGTTGTTTTTAAACAGTTTTAAAAACCAAAATATCTAAATAGTATCAGAACTAAAACTCAAACCTGCACTTTTTACTATCAGTCCTTTGCTTCATTCAATAGTCCTCATTCATTGCATCTGCAAGAATGCACCCTTTTTTGAGAGGGCAGCCTTCTCCCATCTGTCTGAAAAGTAAAACCTTCTGTAGAGATACATTTCAAACTCACATATTAGTTTTTAATATAAGATCTGAATAATAGTGAGCAAAAAAGAATTACTTGTGGAGGAGAAATACAGGCAAATACTTCCTCAATATTTACAGATTAAAACATCACTATAATTTTGTGCCATTAATAAAGCAAATCAAAGTGAGACAAAGCTTTATAAAATTGACAGATACTTGGCTACCTAATTGCATAGGGTAGTAGTGGTCAGGGAAGTCTATAATCCTTTAAATGTAGAATATTTTTGCTTAAACTTTATACTTCCTTTACATTCTGAGCAGTGAGTTGGATAGCCAAAGAATAGGAAGTAACCTAAATTAACACCAAAAGAACAAAGTTTAGAGAAAAGTTCCACAAACCAACCTTTACAAAATTCTTTTTTGTATGTCTTTCATGCCTGTTCCTATCAGGTAAACAGCATCATTCTATACCTTGATTTTTTTCATATATTTGAAATATGAAAATTAACTGTGTAATGATCAGTTCTTTTGACACTCTCCTGATATGTTGGTCAACTGTCTTTCAAGACCATTCCAATCAGTTGAACCTTGTATTTTAATTTTCTTAAAATACTGTTGCTTTTCTAAGGTT